TGAAATTTGAAATTTGAAGTGGTCATTGTCATTATCAGTTTTGCTGTATGTTTAGTGTAGCTTATTTTAAGTAATTTTATGTTTTATGCAGTAAATATGTTTAAGAAATTTTTTTCTCATAAAGTACAAAATCATATTGTGAGGAATGTTAAAACCATCATTCGCTTCAAACCATTCTGGCTTTACCATTTCGAACAAATGCATTTTATGGATTGAAATTTGTTTTTTTTTTTTTTTTGGTTTCTTACAACCTCGAAAAACTCTCTGTATAGCTCTTTGATTTGTGTCTTATCAAAACGAGGTCCAAGAATGTCTGTTATATTGTTTGTGTGTTTTACAGTATCTGGACCCAAATGCAAACAAAGAAAAGCTACTTGATGATCTTTGAAGGAAACAGAATTTCTGTATTGCTTAATAGTCAAAGCATATTGCTTTTCTTTATTCATCTACTTAGAAGAAAAGAAGAGGAGGAGGAGAAGAAGAAAAGGATGAAATGAGTTTTATAAAGAAAAGAAAAGAACACGAGAATCAACGAAATGAATATCAAAGCAAGCCATCAGATTTTGCAGGCATCCTCCTCAGGAAATTCTGTGGCACAGCTGGTATGTCAAACCGAAACCTCGGAGGTCTCAACAAGTAAGTCACCTGAACAAAGAAGATAACCTTAAAAGTAAAGAACCAACACAGAATCCCACCAGACAAACAGAAAATCATAAACAGAGCTGTCGCTCTCGGGTCTTCCAACTCAACAGTGATTGAATCCTCTCTCCCTGAGTCGCCAAATCACCCATCACAGTAAGCAACCTCCCAGCAATCCCTCTCAGCCGATCATACCTGTTTCTCAGGTGTTCACCGCTGAATTTCGATGGCAATGGATCAAACTCTTCTTCTAGTTCTTCAGCCGTGGCTGTGTCAGCATGAGACAGCTTAATATCCATATGGGTCGGAAGTCTCGGCGTTTTGGATATCGCCAGATTTATTCCTATTCGACAAGCAAGGAAAACATCAGGGGAAGGATTGTTCCTTCCTGGTGAAGATGACTAAAAGGAAGATGAAGTAAGCAGTGATTGTCTTCACTGAGCTTTTCCAGGTACGAATCTCATGTATGTAATGTTTGCAGACATAAACTATACCACTCAGAAGGCTAAATAGTCTCTGAATTTGAGCTCTTCCTTTTCTCATACTCCAAAAGTTTGCTCTCACATCAAGCATGTATTCCACAACCTCTCTCTTCAAAGGTGGTTCAGCTCTGCTTAGTCTCAAATGAGGTAATAACAGCAGCTTGGTTTCTTAAACTATCAAGCTGAAATACTGATAATGGGTTGACGTAATGCATTTTTGGAAGCAGAGGTTGTGTATAGGTTTGCAGAACATTAAGTAAAGATGGGCAAGAGAATCTCACAGCCAACTGAATTTCTCCCATTTTTATGGCTCCTTGAGGCTGCAAGTTTATGAGTGGGTTAAAAGGGGTGTACACTCTATCTGTCTCAAGTGTTGAGAGTCTAATTCTCACCTTCCAATTTTCTTATCCACTGGTGCTTCACCATTCTTTTCTGTTCGCAGATGGCCATTGTCAAATACTGCTATTGTTATGACTGTGCAAGGATCAAAAACTTCCAAGTATATTGCTCATTCCACTTGGGAGAGAGACTATCAACTATAGTCTTGTTCTAACCCATTTGGGCCCATACTTCGCAACACAATAAGCATCAGTTTTGTTGTCCTTTTTCATTGGTGATAGCCCAATAGCATTTAGAATGCCCAATTCTAAAACTCCAATCCCTGGTTTGCTCAGTTTCTTAGATGCTGGCCTGAGATCACTACTATATTGTGTGGCCTCATCAAGAACATGGTACCCACCATCCAAGGAGACCCTCATGTTAAGCTTAGTTGAAAACTTAACTTGCTCTTTTGTTCTTGTTGACATTCATTAACCTTATTAGTTTTCTCACACCCCTCATGAACCTTCTTGGGCTGTTCAAGGTTGTACCATTTGCTAGAAGGTGGTGCAGCATCTATTCTTTGCTCTACATTCTTCAATGGAACCACGCAAATTCCCAATTTTTCATGCTTGCAAGAGCTTGAATTCCCCTGCTCTAAGCTCAGAACCAAAGATTCATCAAAAGGTTCTACTGCAAACAAACATTAGATCCTCGTTCCAACAACGGGGTTAGGACTAATCTTCAATGGACGGCTTCTGAGAGCAAGATTCCCAAGAATAGCTTGAATGAAGATTTCTGAGTTATCATTCTTTTTGGTTACTAGCAAATCCTGAGCTTGAATCACATTCACTCTTAAATACCATAGCCGAGGAGAAATATACACTTTTGATCGAGTATAAGCAATATTATCACAGATAGTGGATGTTGCTACATCTGAGTGATAAGCATCGGGAAAAGCTTCATCTGCTTGAGTTCCCATCCAAATAGATAGCATTAATTCTTCTTTAAGCTTCACTCCTTTTTTTATCTTCAAGTCTATACCATTGTGGGGCTAATGGACTATCTGGTGGAACTCTCATAGGAATATCAGATACACTGAATAAAACTCGACCCAGAGTTTCATTGGTACCATTACTTTATCATTCACCATAATTTCTAGAACTGGTCCTGAATTCGATCTTTTGCAAAAGCAAAGACTTGGTTCCATTCTGGATTTGAAGTTTTTTGAAAAATTCGAGTTGTTCCTATGAAACTTCCAAGCTTCACTTCAACATAGGGATTGGAAGTGTTAGATTTAGTGGCACTTGGCAAGTTTTCTAGCTTTAACCACTCTCACAAAGAGAAAGTGCATTTGCTCTACGAGGTCAAAGGCAGTGGGAAGCCTGTCTCCACTCATGACCCTTCCGGCAGCAATGTTTGGGGTTGTTTCTTTAAGGGAGTAATCCTCATGTGGCTTCTTTTGATTTTGATTAGCCATTGTTTGTACTGCAATAATAGGCTGAAAATGTAATAGATATTCTCTTAGATTGTTCCAAAAACGTTCTGGCATATCATAGACATGAATAAGAGATTCATCGGGACATAATATTTCAACATTCAACATGTTGAAGCATACTTCTAACAAATCACAGATATTGAAATAAGCCATTATAATAAGTCAAATACTGACATTCTCTTAATCCCCTCAAACAGCAAATAAGGAGAGATCAAGTGTTTGACTAAAATCAGCAAAAAAGTAAACATATCAATCGAGGAGAAATAACATAAATAACCATGTATGATAACTACAGATACTCGAAACAAAAATTCACATGACGAAGTTTATTGTCTTTTCTTTTATTTTTCTTCCTTTTTGTCCCTGTAAAATATGATTCATTATCTCTGTAATGCAACAAAAACCAAACTAATTAGATGTGCAAAATTCATTATAATTATAGTAATGTGAAAGCAGGGTTCATGCAAATTTTGAAGTGGCTACAATACATGCACGTATCTGGAGATTATCCCATTCCAATCATCACTAAGCTTCAAGGTTTACAGACAGAGATGAAAACTCAGGCAATAGCTTCATTTCATTTCGTGAAATTTATGGACAACAGAGTAGAAATTAAAAAAAAAAAAAAAATAGCAGCATTAGTCACTACGTGAAAGATTTCTAGAAGAGGGGTTCAACCTGAGGGACGAGACACGATAGACGCAATGTGAATAGTAAGAAGAAGCCTGAAAACAGGGGAAACAGAGCAACCTTAAGAGAGCATTGAGACAGAGATTTTCTTTAATGCCTATTTCAATGGGAAATAAGTATTGGGTCTGCACATGATCTTCAATTAAAAATCCATTCCTTGTGGCAATCAATGTGGAAAATTGAGGAGGGTTCTTCTGTGTGTATCATAACAGGTAACAGAGAGAGAGAGAGAGAGAGAGAGAGGATGATACGAGAAGTTAACTTCTGTGGCCCGCGTCTCCTTTACCGTTGCCTTTAAAATTTCTCAGACGTAACTGTCGTCGTAAATGCGCATGACATGAAAACTTCATTTTGGTTAACTGATTTTTCTTGGTTTTGTTTTGTATGAACGATGATGAATTTCATGACTTGAAAATTAATGCCATGTTTGGGTTGAGAGAAAATCAACCTAGGAGATGAGACGAGAGAATTTTAAATTTTTAAGACGAACATCAATGTTTAATAACCGATATGATCATAAGCTTTTATGAGGGATTATTCTGCTTTTTAGATATATAATAACTGACAAGCATGCGCTGGTATTGCATCATGATTGGATTGAGATAAAGTAAGTGTGGTAACGCTTCTCCTAATTAAGTTAAAAGCAGAGATTATTGTCGATTTTGTACCAAGAATTTATCTTACGTTAATTTCACCGGATGTCCCTGGAGGGACATTATGTTTTGTCCAAACTCCAAACTTTCTACTTGTTCAAATATAGTAACATTATCAATTAAATTAATTGAAACTAATGACATGTCTCATGAGCTAAATCAGTTTCAGTGTGAAGAGAAAGAGAGGGAAAAAAACAGTTTTAGTGATTGCTTTTCTTAATAATCATTTTCTCTTGCCTATAGTTTGTATACTTAATTTTCTTGTTAATCTTCTTTCTACATTCGGCATATTAGTTGTCAGAGCTCATTTAAATTAAATTAACCTCTTATGAAGTCTGGACTGTAAACTATACCAATGTTCTTCATGTCCTTTGTAATGTTGGTGAGCTCTGAAAAAAAATACTCAAGTACCTTCCCCCCCCCCCCCCCACAGGGCGAAAACAACTTGGTGGTTGTTGCGAATGTCACAGAGTCACACCAAAAAAACAAAAACATAGTTAAAGGCCGATGTTTTTGACATCGTAGCATCTCACTTTGCATATATGCTCATACGTTGGCTTCTTTCTTTGTTTTGATGCTAAATTATTATTACATGCCTTCTCTGGTGGAAGCAAGCCAGATAAAGAAAGTGACAAACTTTTTGAAAGCTTTTTCCATGGATGAATTGCTGGGAAGATAAAACGCCATAAATAGTAGATCTTCATTCTGAAGTGAGCTACACCAGCAATCATTTCAGGCAACAAGAGCTTCAATCTTGTCTTCAATGTAGGCTTCATTGTCCTCCAGACGACCTTTGATTGTGTCTTTCTCCCAACGGATCAATGTCGGTACGGATGTGAGCTTGAACCTTGAATCCTCCCTCCATGGATTCTGAGGGTTCTTCCATGCTGGTATGTCTCCTACATAAGTCCTCAACAGTGCAATATCATCCGATGCAGATTCCAGCTTTTTGTAGATCACAGGCTCAGCCCTGGAGCAGTCTGTGAACCAAAACAAAAAAAGAGCCAAACAGAAACAGTCATTTTTGGGTTTTGCTAAATGAGTTCTAACTAGTTTAGGACTGGTTTGGGAGGATGGAGACAAATCAGACAATAACTAAAAACTATTTTTGGATGATTGCAGGTAACAGGTAATGAAGGGGGTGGGTTGAGATGGATTCTCAAGCCACTGATTTACTTTTCAATTCCACACTCGAATTTCAAAACTTCAGTTTCAATTACTAGTTTTTCCTTTATCAGTTATCACACACAATCCATTCTCATTTCTTCTATGAGTAAAAGTTTATAAATCTTCGCCAACGAAGGAAGACAATATGAACCAGCTAGGTCTGCAGACCAATGATCAGAAACATAATAGTACAACAGCCGGTCCTGCTACCATCTCCTTCGAACCTCAATTCTCCACCAATCTCTTCCCAGGTTGGGTAACTTCATGAAGAGTTTCACCTCTCTAAGTGGAGTTTTCCCACAATAAGATATATTTCACAATTCTCGCTTCAGATTTTTGTTTACGGATACGAAAATCTCAAAGTGGTCATTGAATTGTTCATCAAAAGATGAGTTAGGCTACTCAAAACATTTCATTAAATGCGCGCCGTAATGCTCTAAACAAACAGATACACTATCACTACAATAACGCAGAATTCCATATTTCTTCCAGAAAATTCACCAGATCTGAGAATAACGGGTGAACTTCTACAAAAAACTCAACAAAATGGGAAACGATAACACAGAGAAACATGTATGATCTACGGAGATTCGAAAGCAGTTCAAGAACCACAATAATACCAGGGCAAATGCTAAGGGAGGTAGCAGGGTCTTTGTCGACCAGGAAGAGGATTAGATTGAGCTTGTTCTTCGGCGCATCTGAACGAAACTCCTCGAAGACTTCAGCGAAGCTTGCAATCGTGGCATCGGAAATCTTCAGCGGCATTTTCCCGCTTATCTGCGACTCTGCAACCAAGAGTAGGATAACTTTCTGGCGGCGACAACGATAATTCGGTCGCCATTATATATGCAAGATTCGGGCAGCTTGGGCGCAGCATTATGCCACCAAACTCATTTTGAATAATATAATGAACCACTCAATGCGTATGAGTTGGGTGTGTCCAAGTTCATCTTCCGAAAATATATTTTAATGGAAATCAGGGCCAACATGTTTATGCAGCCCCTTTCCAAGACGGGAGTAAAGCTAACTCTGACCCGTAACTTAGCCAATTGCCAGATTCTAATAACATATTCAAAATATAGAAATCTCACAGCTCAAAGACGTAGCGAGAGACTCTGAAGTACTTCTCACCATTTCAAGATGTTTTGGAGCAAAGATCCACAAGATTCATGATCTAACTTGGGGGGGAAACAACTAAAAACAGAAAACACGTTAAGAAGAAAACATGTTAAGAAATCTTATTATCAGTGTGTAAACACAATGATAACAATTGGAATGACCTTCGCGCTCTCACTTAAAAGATATGGATATTAGTACAAAGGAAAGAGGCACCTACCTTCCCTCTAGGAACTAAGAAAACAGACTACTCACAAGAAAAAACTACATTCCGGGTCTTTTTCTTCCTAAGTCAGACGCATCGGTATCGTTTGATGCGGAGTATTGAAACCGAGGGTAAGAATTGTGATTGTGATTGAAAAAATATATTTAAAAAGTGTCTAGTATGAGCAACAACGAATTAGACAAATCCATATACGTGGGATTAGAGAATACCATAGAAGAATGTGATATTTTCCAATCTCACTTATATGAGATTGTCTAATCCCATATAATAAGAAATTATTCGTACTAAACATTTTTAATTTTTTTTTAATCTTAATCTCAATCTTTATTCCTTGTTTTTAATGCTCTGTACCAAATGTAAGAATCGTTCCTCTTGCATTGTGTTTAATTAATAGCTTTAGAGATAATTAAGAGGTAAGAGAGTGTCCTCTATGTCAGCCACCATGTTCTGCTACTTCGAGCCTAACAGCTTCATCTTCTTTTCATCGAAGAAGATGAAACCAATAAGGGGCATGCAGTGGAAGCGGGTTCTTTAACGCTGAGACACACAGAGGCTCGGAAATATGAAGCCTCCATTGATGTTTCTTACTTCCCTGTTCATTCTCAGCCTTCTCGCCTGTAGCTGCTATATATGTGTGCGCGCATGTTTCTTGAGTTAATTTCATTGGATGTCCCTGGAGGGGCATTATGTCTTGTCCAAACCTTATACGTACGTGGTCCAAAATACTAATAATATCAATTAAATTAATTAAAACTAATGACGCGTCACATGAGCTAAACCAGTTGTAGTGGATGCAAAAAAAAAAAAAAGAACAACGAAAGTTTGATTGCTTTTGTTAATAGTCGTTTTTGTCCTTGCCTCTCTGTTCATATAGTCAAGTTTCTTTCTTCATTCGAGAATATTAGTTGTACGAGCTCATTTGAATTAACCTCGTGTGAAGCACTACTTCTCATTCTTAATATAAAAATTAAATATCTAATTTAAAGATATTACAAAAATTAGTTAAGTTAATTATTTGTAACAAATATATATTAACTTTTCTAAACTAACCTCTTTAATTATGTGTATTAAAATTACCTTCTAATAAAAACACTATATAATCAATAGGAATATTTTAAAAAACAATTATAAATTAAAAAGATAAAGTAAATTAAAATCTTATATTTATGATTAAATCTATTCTACCCGCAATTTAGTTATCAACGGTATAAATTTCTTCCTCATGAAATTTTCATATTATGCATTCAAATTAACTATTAATTTGTATTTTTCTTAATACTTGAAATTAGACTAAAGTATGAGTATAACCATTTTCCTTAAAAAAGTATGTGTATGTTTTCCCACCTAGAACCAACTCAAGTGGCAAGGATAATGGCTCAAAATCTCTTGTAAAACCCAAGACAAAGAAATAAATCAATGCATATTTTAAATTATACAAAAGATATAATTTACTCAAAATATTAATTATCATCCAGTAAATCCAAGGGAAGACTTCACAATGCATCTGAACATATCATATACTCATGTCAAGCTGTGTCTTAGTACACGTCCTTCTTAGACGAAGCTACAAGGATGCAGGGGGTTCATTCACTAGCATTTAACATCTTATTTTTATTCTATGATCTGCAGGCGAAGCTCTAGACGTAGGATAATAGGACGGATGAATTGCTGGGAAGATAGCGCCACAACTAGTAGTTCTTACATACTGAATCGAGCTACCCTTGCGATCATTTCAGGCAAGAAGAGCTTCAATCTTGTCTTCAATGTGGGCTTCATTGTCCTCCAGACGACCTTTGATTGTGTCATTCTCCCAACGGATCAAAGTCGGCACGTCAGCGATCTTGAACCTTGAGTCCACCCTCCATGGATGCTGAGGGTTACTCCATGTTGGTCTGTCTCCTACATAAGCCCTCAACAGTGCAATATCATCTGTTGCAGCTTCCAGCTTTTTGTAGATCACAGGCTCAGCCGTCACACAGTCTGTGAACGAAAAAAGAGCCAAACAGAAACAAGTCATTTTGGGTTTCGTTAAAAGAGTTCTAACTAGTTTAGGACTGGTTTGTGAGGATAGGGACAATAACTCAAAACTATTGTTGGGTGATTGCAGGTGACGAGTAATGCAGTGGATGGGTTCTCAAGCCACTCCTACATTTCAATTTCATACTTCAATTTGAAAACTTCAATTTCAATTACTAGTTCTTCTCTTCTCACCCATGATTCACTCTCCTTTTCTTTCATGACTAAAAGTTTGTGAATATCCACCAACGTAGAAAGAAAATTATGAATCAGCCAGGTCTGCAGAGCAAAGATCAGAAACATAGTAGTATAATAGCCAGTCTTACCACCCTCTTCTTCAAACCTCAATTCGCCAACAAGCGCTTCCCACTATTTAATGAAGGTTGGGTAATTTCACCTCTGTGGAGCTTTCCCACAGTAAGATGTATTTCACAATTCGCGCCCAGTTTTTTGTTTACTAATAAGAAATCTAAAAGTTCTCATCGAATTATCCCTCAACAGCTTTCAGATAGGCTACCGAAAACATTTCATTAAATGTGCCCTACTGCTCCAAACAAACAGGTACAATATGAATATAATCTTGCAGAATTCCAGAAGTCCCCCAAAAAGTCGCCATATCTGGGAACTAGGGGCAAGCTTCCACGGAAAACTGAAAAATGGGAAAAGATAACACAGAGAAGCAAGCATGATCTACGGAGATTCGAAAGCAGTTCAAGAACCACAACAATACCAGGGCACCAGCTGAGAGAGGTAGCAGGGTCTTTGTCGGCCAGGAAGACGATTAGATTGGCCTTGTTCTTCGGCGCCTCTGATCGAAACTGCTCGAAGACTCCATCGAAGCTCGAAACCGTGGCATCAAAGAGCTTCAGCGGCATTTTTCCTATTGTCTTCCGCAACTTCACAACCAGGAATAGGGAACCTTTCTGGCGGGGACGAGGATCATTTACGCGCCATTATATGCAAGGATTCTCTTGGATTGGAAAACGGGTCGGATCATCATGAGATTACCGGGGCTCAGTTTGATTCCTTTTCCAATTTTTCTTTGTAGAAGTTAATGTTATCTTTGCTTCTAAAATTTAATTTAATTTTTTATTTTATATTTTAGTTTCTAAAATTTGAAATTAAGAATTTTGGTCTTTTAGATTTAACTTCATTTTCGTTTTGGTCAGTGAAATTTTACCTCTAACTTACAAATCAAAACTAAAATAAGGTTAAATTTTAAGAATTAAAAATAATATTAATAATTATGGTATTAATAAAAATTATTTTTAAAAATTATTAGGGCCACACAACTCTAAATCATGAACCAATGATTATTTTACCAACAAACTTATTTTTTTTTTTGCCAGAAATACCAACAGACTGGTAGTTGAATGACATAGAAGGTCCTTGATAAATAAAAGTCTGGTTGATATTATTTCTTATCAATATAAAAATCACGTCAATAATGCGAGGGTCCGCTCCAATTAAATGTGATTCATGTGATACCTTCATCTGATGTGATAGTAATATACCACAATTTTTGCTGGTTAAAAAAAACCACAATTATGAAATAGTTTACAAATAATTTTTTAATTATAATTTACGAAATACAAGATAAATACGTGAGAGGAGTTTTATCTCAACTGATATGAAATATGCTTATAAGTATTTTCATTGCTATCCCAAACAAGCCCTTAATCATAATATCAATCATTAATATAAGAGTTAGATAACTAATCTAAGAAGATTAAGAAAATTAGTTAAGTTGGTTATTTGTTATAAGTTTGTATTGGTCTTTCTAAACCATCATATTTAATCATAAATCATCCTTTTCAATCATATACATTGAATGATTCGAATTATTTCTTGGTATGAAACCCTTACAATTAAAAAAATGAAAACTAAAACAGATTGAGATCTTATGTTTAAAGCAAATCCCACCTAATTTTTATAATACCTTTGATTCTAATTATAAGAACCAGTTAACTAATTTGAGAAAATTAAAGAATAAGTTAAGTTAGTTATTTGAATTAAATAGGTGTTGTTTTTGTTAAAATATTCTTATAATAAAATGTATTAGCTAGAATTACTATTGTTAGAAAGACTAATTTAAAAAAAATACATAAATATGAAAAAAATGAATTGAGATCTTATATTTAGAATCAAAATAAAAATTAAATAAGATTTTATATTAAGTAACGGACTAGCATTAAGAATCAATACAAAAGGATTGATAGATGATTGGATGAGTCGTCCATAAACTTGAGGAGAGAACTTTTACACATTCGCAGTAGGGGATCTAAACACATCAGCACTTTCTCCGGCGAAAAAACCGAGCGAAAAAACACAGCAGCATTTTGACTTCAATATTATCTTAATTATTAATAAATTAATACTAGTAAAATTGAAATTAAGATGAGCTAGAACCAAAAAGTGTATATAAGCTTACTATACGGTATTTTTTAAAATTCTTTTTTAAGTTCATATCGAGTGACGAGTAGATCGTAATTTAAAAAGGGTAGGATATGAAAATTAACACTGATTATGATTTTAAACGCGGCTTCTGCTTTTCTCTTATGCTCAAAATTAACTACTCTTTTAATTTTAAATATAAGATTTTTGTTGTGGTGTGTATATAGGTTTTATATTTAAGACCGGAGAAATAGAAAATATCTCAAGGTGTTAACTATCACATATTGAGTATTATTGAGAAAATATTTTAAAATATTGCAATTAATTTAGAATATTAGATCACACTGAAAAAGTATTCTGGGGTGCTGGATTTTTTTTTTTTTTGGGGAAAAAATGGCAAAGCATTAACCTGTGTCTTGTTTTCACCCTCCATTCATCCCTCGTCGCATTTTCGGGTGCTCACCGTTGAAACGACAATGTTTGGGTTAGTGGCAACCTGCCCCTTCTCTGCCCTTTCACTTGAACCCTCTCCTTGTCTTCTTCCCCCAGATTTACGGCATCCTCGACTCCCACCCTTGCGCCTATCTCCAACGAATTCATGAGAGTGGATGTCCTCAGCGAACAATGAAAATTGAAAACAACCGACGGAGTTAAAAAAGGTGCACGTGGAAGCTCCGGGCAGGTTGGCCCCCCGTGTTGACTTTTACGATTTTAAACTAATATTATTTCTAAGATCTATTTAATTAATTTAATTAAATTAAAAAAATTAGATAAATTAATTAATTATAAGAAGTATAACATGTTTTTTTAAAATATCATGATCATCTTTTTTAATATCCTCCCTCTATTTTCTCCTTAATTATGATTGGGATAGTATCAATAGAAGTAATTTAGAAAAAATTAATAAATATGAAAAAATATGTCTTATATTTAAGATTAAAATCAACTTAATAATTAGGTCGTATATTAAAAACTGGATGAATACTTTATTTGAATGAGGGCAAAAACAAAGGATAGAAAGAGAAAAATTAAAAAATATATTTTTTATTTGGCCAAAAAAATCTTTTCCCCACCTCGTATTTGGATTAGTAAAGGGGGAAAAACACATAAAAATTGACTATTTTTGTATCATTATATATTTGTGATTGCATGCAATAGAGGGTGAGTCTCAGAACAACTGTAAGCTTGCTGAAACAAGGGGTTACGAATTTAGATGTTAAAAACAGTTTCTTCTTTGTGAGGATAAGGATGTCGCTTATTAGATTCCATGTGAGGGAGCCTTAACAAGAGGTCACGAATTTAAATTTTAAAAGCAGGTTCTTTAACGCTGAGACACAGAGAGATTCAGAAATCTGAAGCTCCCATTGTTGTTTCTTACGTTCCTGTCCATTCTCAGCCTTCTCGCTTGTAGCTGCCATATATGCATCTCGTGTGGATTTCATCCGATGTCCCTAGAGGGACATTATGTCCTGTCCAAACCTTCTACATGGTCCAAAATACTAACAATATCAGTTAAATTAATTAAAATTAATGACACCTCACATGAGCTAAACCAGTTTTAGTAGGAGGCAAAAGGGGGGAAAAAAAGTTTTAGTGATTGCTTCTGTTAGTAAGAGTCATTTTTGTCCTTGCCTCTTTGTTCATAGCACCCAAGAAACCGAAGTGTTGAGCTTGTGGTTTTGGTTTAATATTCCTGATAGCTCTAAGGGCATATGCTCATGCATTGGCTTCTATGCTTTGATGCTCAGTTATTTTATATGCCTTCTCTGGTCGAGGAATCCTGATAAAGACAGTGACAACTTTTTTGAAAGCTTTTTCCTTTTGAGGGCATCCCATCTTATTTATTCATCATTCCGTCCTAGTTAATGTCCCTTAATGTCCTTACCTGCAATTTAGCTATCTACGTTATATAGTTCTTCCCCATGAAACTGTTATATTATGCGCTCAAATTAACCATTGATTTTTGTTTTATTTTCATACATACTTGAAATTAGACTGAAATGTGAGTATATCTTTTTTCCTTAAAAAAAGTGAATGTATGTTTTACCACAATTAACTCAAGTGGCAATGATAATGGCTCAAAATCTCTTGTAAAACCCAAAAAAAAAAATGAATGCACATTTTTAAAATATGAGAAGGACATATAATTTACTCAAGATAATAATTATCATCTAATAAAACCCAATAGTGAATTTCACATTGCATCCCAACATATCCTATCCTCATATTCATATGAAGCTACTCGGATGTTGGGGGTTCACTCACCAGTACTCAACATCTTATTCTATGATCTGCAGACAAAGCTAACACAACTAGTAGCTCTCACATACTGAAGCAAGCTACATCAGCAATCATTTCAGGCAACAAGAGCTTCGATCTTGTGTTCAATGTGGGCTTCATTGTCCTCCAGACGACCTTTGATTGTGTCATTCTCCCAACGGACCAACGTCGGCACCCCAGTGAGCTTGAACCTTGAGTCCACCCTCCATGGATGCTGAGGGTTCCTCCATGTTGGTCTGTCTCCTACATAAGCCCTCAATAGCGCAATATCATCCGATGCAGCTTCCAGCTTTTTGTAGATCACAGGCTCTGCCCTCACACAGTCTATAAACAAAAAAAGAGCCGAACAGAAACAAGTCATTTTTGGTTTACTAAATGAGTTCTAACTAGTTTAGGATATGGACAATAACTCAAACTATTGTTGGGCCATTGCAAGTGACAAGAAATGCAGTGGATGGGTTAAGATGGGTTCTCACGCCATTACTACATTTCAATTTCATACTCCAATTTGAAAACTTCAATTTCAATCACTAGTTCTTCTCTTATCAACCATGATTCACTCTCCTTTTCTTTCGTGACTGAAAGTTTTTGAATATTCACCAACGCAGAAAGAAAATTACGAATCAGCCAGGTCTGCAGACCAAAGATCAGAAACATAGTAGTACAATAGCCAATCTTACTACCCTCTTCTTCAAACTTCAATTCTCCAACAAGCTCTTCCCACGTTTTGGTTTGAATGGTGATGAAGGTTGGGTAATTTAATGAAGAGTTTCACCTCTCTAAGTGGAGCTTTCCCACAGTAAGAAATATTTCACAATTCTCGCCCAGTCTTTTGTTTACCGATGCGAAAATCTCAAAGTGCTAACCGAATTATCCCTCAAAAGTTTTTCATTTAGGCTACCCAACCCTAATGCTCCAAACAAACAGGTATATTATGAATACAATCTTGCAGAATTTCACATTTCCTCAAAAAATTCACCATATCTGAGAATAACGGGTCAGCATCTACGAAAAACTTAAAATTGGGAAAAGATAACACAGAGAAGCAAGCATGATCTATGGAGATTCGAAAGCAGTTCAAGAACCACAACAATACCAGGGCACCAGCTGAGAGAGGTAGCAGGGTCTTTGTCGGCCAGGAAGACGATTAGATTGGCCTTGTTCTTCGGCGCCTCTGATCGAAACTGCTCGAAGACTCCATCGAAGCTCGAAACCGTGGCATCAAAGAGCTTCAGCGGCATTTTTCCAATTATCTGCG